GATAAAATGAGCCCATTAAAAAAGTCTCACGGCTGACGGCCCATGAGGGCCGTGACAGAGGTGGACACACGATTGTGAGATCCTCAGATGTTCCCCCTTTGTATGGATATCGGCTCAGTGTGAAACGGCATTTCAAAGCACAGCCACTCCAAATGAAAGCACACACACACAACCCGGAACACTTGCACGATGTATGTGCAAGATATAATAGTATCAAGGGCACGGATAAAAGGGGTCACATCTATGAAAGACAGAGGCACTTAAAACGCCGCACATGCGACAGCTTAAGACAGGCCGGCGTCGAAACAATGGAAAAATACCGACATCGGTTACGCCTGTGGGAAGGATGGCGTACGAGAGAGAGAGATGTAGCTGCAGACATGAGCATTAGCTCTGCTCCTACAAAACAGGACAACTTATCAACAAAGACGAAACAATTCTGCATGAAGTGTAAACTTGCGTGACAGGTGAAGAAGTGCCATGCATTGACGTGTGAGCTGGGGTGTTTGAGGGTCGTATTGCTGTGAGTTCAAGGAATTAATTTGGTTTGCTTTTGCAGAGTGAGTTTTCAGAATTTTGACTGTTTTGAAGGAAATTAAGGTAGTTGTGAAAATATTTTAAATACGTTTAATAAACTGACTTTTTTTGTAAATGAAGGTAGTGCCTTTGCAGGCGAGAATATTGTTTTGATCATGCCTGCACTGTTCGTCCTCTGCGTTTCTTTGAATCATAAAGTTCCCATTTGATTATGAAAAAAATATTCATGCTGGTTTGGCATTTCAAACATTCCATGCAAGCATTTGGGGGGTAATGAACTTTTCAATCTGAAGTGTAAACTGGACGCAATGTTTAGGCTTTGGCGGCTGGAGTAGTCGATGTGTCAGTGCGCACTCTACTCAGCCATGTGGTGTGTGTGTGTGGTAGGAGTGGGAGTGTAGCGGTTAGCACGTTGCGCAAGACAAATTCGATTCCCGCTCATGGCCTCCCCTAGGTCGACTCAGCCTGAAATGAGTACCCAGTGCGGTGTGTAAATATCGCCATTGGGGAGACAAAGGTGGCCGGGCGTGGTGCTGGCCACCCACGCCTCGTGTGCCGTGCCGGTCTTCATAGGTGCTCGCTAACAGCACTTGCCCCAACAGTCTGTTGAGGCTATTTGGGCGACATTTGTCGTTGTCTTTGTATATATGCGTGCAGTGTGCGTGTATGTATTATACCATGATCCATTTTCAACAGCCACATAAGCAAGTTAGAAATCAAATTTTCACTGCTAATAAAAGTAAGTGGGCTTTAGCAGGAGCCGTCACCAGAATGGATGATGGCCAGGAGTTGAGCATAACCGTGGAGTGCCAGCCTCTACACGCCCCAGAGAATGGCCACCGTGGACACCGACTGTTGAGATCTGTTTGCAACCTTTGCTGGAATTGGCGAGCAACGTTGTGTGTTCCAAAGCAGTCATTATGGATCCTGTATCAGCATAACCAAGAGTAGATTGTTGCGTTGTGATGTTCAATACTCCAAATCATTTTTTTCAATTACTTCAACCAAATAGTCAACAAACAGGCAGAATAAACATCTGGATTTCCCCCGGTTCAACTGACATCGAATTGGAACTTTCACTACATGTATTGATTCATGATTCATTGCACAATGTGGTCAAGACTAATGAAGGAGCGGCAGGCATCCAAAGGATGGAACACGCCCAGAAATGTCATCCAACGCGGAGACGAAGTGATGGCATTGGCTCATTCGCAGGAGCTCGGTGGATGGATGTGTCGTGAGACTGTGAAGAGATGGCGGTGGCTTCGGAAAGCCTTCGTCCCATCGTTAATAGATCGTGGCTTGTGATAATAATGGTTTTGATGACATTGCAAAATGTTAAAATAGTAGCATTTCTCTATCGGTGATTTTCAATGAGGATCCATGGATGGAACATACAAAAACATATTCACAGGCCTTGGAATTCACCAAGGGGTTTAAGTAACAAATAATTACGGGGCCACATTTGCCATAAGATTACACGGCATGGATTGACAACGAAAATATCGACACGAGGTTGTTTTATTTACAATTGCAAACGAAGAGACCAGTTAACCGTTAAGGGGCTGCGGAAGGCAGGCACTTGATAATAACAACAACACCAGAACGTGAAGATAAAAGATGCCAGATTATCAGAGAGAGGCGTGTAAAGTGAGCTCTGTGATAGAACAAAATGTGTCAATAGCTCCTGATAACCGAACACCTGGACAGGCTTATGAACAAGCCAACGTCGCCGATAACATGTCCTGCACCCACCTGCCGAATATTAAACAAGCCTTTGATAAAGAGGATGAAAGCGACATTCAACCAATTTTTCAAAGATTTTTGTATAATAAAATGCACCTTCTAAAGTGCTCTTTAGTTGTCAATCTAACTTCAGAGATAACCCACAATGACAGATTGTGTGCGTGTGTGTGTGTGCGTGCGTGCGTGTGTGCGTGCATGTGTGCGTGTGTGTGCGTGTGCGTGCGTGCGCGTGTGTGCGCGCGTGCGTGTGTGTGTGCGTGTGTGTGCGTGTGAGTGTGTGCGTGTACGCGTGCGTGTGTGTGCGTGTGTGCGTGTTTGTGTTTTGTGGGGTGCATTGGCCCAGTGGTTAGTGCGCTGCACTACGAACCCCGTCACCACAGTTTGATTCCCCGTCACGGCCAACAACAGTAACGATTGTGTGAACCGGTTCTGGGCCTCCCTTAGGTAAATTCAGCCTCAAATGAGTACCTGGTGTGATGTCTAAACATCGCCACTGGGGAGACAAAGGCGGCCAGGCTTTGTGCTGGCCTCCCACCCCCTCGTGTGCCGTGCCAGCCTTCATAGGTGCTCGCTAACAGCACTTACCCCAACAGTGAGATAAAAGATGATACTGTTAACTGTCGGTGAATAATTGTAATAAGATATTCTGTATCCATGAGCCTGTAACCAATGACCTTGCCAGTAAAACACATATTTGTACTCTGTCTTGCACGAAAGGTAAAAGAAACCCAGGATGCCTGGTAAACATTGTATTCCAATTGCACATTTAATAGAAAACGCCCATGGCTCTACTTTGTAGTTTCTAAAGTGTGGCACCTATCCACTAAATGCTTCTAATTTGAGTCAACATGGTTGCAATGAAATGACAGCGCATTTGAAATTACACACACACACAAAGTAACGCTTTGCATCTTTGAAAAAATAAAAAGTACCATTATTTATTTAGCCATCTTTAAGGACAGGACGTGGTAACAGTTTTGAGCAGTGTGCGTTTTATGAACTGTCGATATGGCTATAGATAATAATTAATTAACAAATAAATAAATTGCTTAATTAATTTGCGTAAATGGAGCACTGCGTCTGGCTGCGCAAACGCTGGCAGGAGCACAAAGCTTGCGAAAGCATCTTGTGGGAATATGGAACGCTGGTAAAGCTTTGTAGTTGGTGGATGTAAATGTTTAACCCTTTCACTGCAGCATTATATATATATACATTGTCCCAATTGTTTGCCCGCACTGAAAGATTTTGAGAACCTCTTCGGAATGTGGAGTTCTGCATTGGCTGGCCTGGTCGCTTGTAGAGACCACAACCCGCGGGTTCACGGTCGCAGGAGCAGGAACAGGTTGATCGGCGCTTTAAAGAAGGGCAAGTACAAACGCTACCTTTGGAGCTACCGCATTGAAATAAATGTACATCCTGAGTTTCAACAATTGTTTGGAGAGACGTTTAAACATGACACGGAACGTTGAAATGAGCGCTTGAAATGTAGCGCGGTAATGAGAGTATTTCATGGAAATGTATCTCTGCAGCACACAATACGGGACCGTTTCAAATCGGTTTGCATTGCACACCTACGCTTATACTCCAAGAGATATGCATCAAGTATATCACACAGCAACAGCAGCGACATCTCTACAACTATATAAAAAAAATGTCCATTAGGAAAATCACTGATTATAAGTTAGGGTCAGGGTTATCATGAGAGAGAGAGAGAGAACATTTCAGACTTGCATTGATTAGCAGTTCAGTTCAATTATATTATTAATGCTCACATTATTTGTATGGTTACTGTAATTAAATGTGTAGTGATTTTCCTTTCCATGGAGATTGCTTCAATTGTTTTCAGCCAGAAGTGTCTTTCATTTTTTAAATCAAATTGTTATGTCAATGCAGTGCCATCTTACTTACAGCTCTGAGCCTCATTGCCACTGAAGTTGTAAACAGCGCTAATGTGAGTGCGCGGAGCCTTGCTTGCAGTTGCAGTCGTATTAAAAGGGGGCTGTTGTTTCTGTCTTGGTTGAAGAGGCTGCCGCCTGCATCGGGAGCCACGAGGTGACGCAGCGGGTAACGGCAGCTTTTTCAGCCGTGCGCCGCACAAGTTTCTTCTTGCGCGTTTTATCATTAAAGGGAATCGCTCCATCAGATGTTTGCCGTCCAAGGACTGAAGGTGGCATGGCCAGCAAAAGTAGCAGACGGTGCAATAAAATAAAAATGAACGAGGCAGCTTGCAGCTTCGTCAAAACATTGTCGCCATAGCAATGTTTATACTGCTCTATATAAGAGTAGGGTTGGCATGATATAATGTCATGGTTTTAGATGCACGACATGGTGATGGTCGCGACTCCAGTCTCCCCCCGTAGGTTTGTAAATAGTTTGTTCTGATTGGTTTGCTTTGCTTCCAGAAGAAAGAAAGAATACTTACTGAAAATTGCAACTTTGCAACTGATAACACTTTTTGTCTGTCAATCACACAGACAATATTAAATCAATAACTGAACTCACACAAAACTGTTTTACTCTACTGATGAGACCCAGAAGGTCTAAACCGGTCAAGTTTGTTTGCTTAAACAAATGCTGCTGGGTAATGTTGGGAAGCTGAGAGGCCAGTGGACTGAAACAAAATGTTTACGTGTATGTTGCGACGGAATAGAGTATTGGTCGTGTGTACACTGTAGCGAACATATATGTAGTTATCTTATAACAAAGCAGGACCTCACCTGGAAGTCGTTGGCCTTGTTGTAGTGCACGTTGAGGGCGCGGAAGAGCTCCGAGTCGCGTGTGACCGTGAGCTCCTCGGCGCTGGTCACCCCGTCCGCCAGCGCTGTCCGTGCGAACTTCTCCATCTGGATGTAGTAGAACTCGCGGAAGTTGCTGAACCACTTGATGAGCTGGGACGTGATGCAGCGGTTGAACTGACGTGAGACGTCGGGGAGACAAGAACAGCGCAAGCACGGGTAGCTGTGTGTTTAGAACGAGCGCGCTTGTTCCACGACACCGACGCTGCCGTGGTGCCACGGTGGGCAGACTGAAATGCCGAGCCAAGGTCGTCGCTTCAATCTCCTGGCGCGGCAGCTGAAACGGCGGTGCAAGTTTTTTAAATTCCGCCCCCCCCCCCAATCTCTGTCCACCCAGCAGTATTAAGTCGCGTGTGGTGGGGTAAAGTGTGGGTACTCCAACCTCTTCAAAGATGTCTGGGCAGTGTGGCAGAGTGGGGACACCATCTGGAGAGGCTCTTCAGAGCTCCCTCCAGTGGAGGCCTCTTCCTCCGCGTTGGCACGAGAGAGCAAGTGCGAGGCTGCGCCCTGACTTTAACCCTGCTTCATATTAAACGCAATGTATGTTTAAAAAAAATTCCTGTACACGACTGGTTGCTCCAGACTGCAATATATTGTATTTGCCAAGATTGTAATGCACAAGTTGAAATTGAAATAAATTAACTTGTAAAAAACAGTATCAATTCATTATGTCGTTTTAACATATGACGTTAACATTATAAAATTACGTGCGTGATTTAGTTGAACATTTAGAAATAACACTTTGCAATAGTAATTTCCTTAATGGCTCACTTTATTCCTGCCATATATCTGATGGGTATGTTAAAGGCATTTCTGTGTCACTGTGAAATATAGACTCTTATTGCAAACGCGAGCTTCCAGCTGAGATTTCTGCATGTTATATAGTTGAATTGTGTCTAGGGCACGTTACAATTCTACATTTCTGCATTCATTCAACAGTTTTATTTAATACAAAGGGGAAATCATGACACTGTTTCCCAAATAACTTTAAGAATTAGGACTAGGAATTTATTTTTGCGTAAAAAGACATTTAAACAAATAATAATTTTGCTATCATCCTCAAGACACTTAATAGACATTACATAAATACAAAAACATTCTCTTCGGATGGCCAATTGACCTGTAAAGGACCCTTCAACTAGTCTTACAGAAGCATTCATTAAGGATCCACTCGTTATTAAATATATGACGGGCGGCTTCTCCACAGTCTTATCTTTTAAACGTGATAATAATTCACTGTGTAACAAAACACATTTTTTGTTCCTGGGTACTAAGTGTTATTTCCTAATTGCGTATGCCTCAAAAGTACAGAAAATTGCTGCCTATTCCCCACAAACTTTGCTTTTGTGACCAGGACACAAAAGCCAAGTTAATAATCCACTCCATTAATAACACTGTGCAACAAATATATTTTTTGTTCATGGGTAGTACATTTTATTTTCTAATTGCTCATGCCTCAAAGTACAGAAAATGACTATTACTCCCCACAAACTTTGCTTTTGTGACCAGGACAGTGATATTTTGTGCAACTTGAATGTGCAAGATGTATCATTACGAGAACTATCTGATATTTCATTTTAAAAAAACAACAACGAGCAGCAGCATACTGAAGCAAAGCTATGCGGTGCGGTGCAATAAAAAAAATGCTTTTGGCATTTGTCACAGCATAATCAACCAAAAGCCACCCCCCATCAAAGAAAGATAATAACAAATAATTTAAAACAGGAAAATCGTTCTGCCACATCACATTTACACAGACACTTCATATTTTTCAGAAGCAGAGACATCGCCTGTTACGATACAAGCAGCTGGAAGCCATTCAGAACTGTCCCCGTGCAATTTCGCAGACAATACCAGCTGATCACATTCACCACTGAAGTTCACTTGGGTAGCAGCATGCATTTAGGCTGTTTGCGTTCCTCATGCTAAGTAACCTCTCCTTAACATCATCACTTAATGGAGCGTAATTACGTGGCTGCAAGTTGGAGGTCTTTTTGTGTGTGGCCTGAAATGTGCCGTAATGATGTGGATAAAGAGAGGCATTCAGTGACACACTAATTAAGTACCCGTGGCCATCAGACAGCTGCTTGATTGAAAGTTTTAACCCGTTTGTGGTCACATCAGTCTTCGTGAAGTGTTTGTTTTCCATTGTGGGGCTCTCGGCACTATCATGCCATGCTCGCGGGGACCTTTGTGGGCAGGGGAATGAAAGTGTGCGCGCGACATTCAGCGGGAGGACTGTGATGGAGACCAACGGCAATCGACCGAATGCCGCCGGAATGCTATTTAGTATTTGCGCAGGTTCGTATGTTGAACTTCTTTAGCACCGTACGTAGCCAACCACACGAGTCGGAGGTGCGGGAAAGGACATAAAACGAAACACAAAAATCTGTTCAAAAGAAATATGTTTTCAATATACTGTAGTGCATAGCTCCTCCAGTGGCTCCCTAATGCAGTCGTGGACCGTGGCTTCGGTTTCATGGGAGATCAACAAATGTTCAATATTATTGGCTCACTTGCAAGTCAGCGCATGCGGGCAGTTGAGGAAAAGAGGAGCAGACGGATTAGAAAAGGTGCACAAGTTGAGGACATCGCCTTGGGCAGGACGTGTCCCTCGAAGCGATGACGGCCGGCGGCGGTCGAGACTAACAACGGAGTCGCAGCCAAAGGGGTGAACTCGCCCGAGACGGAGGCAGCATTTGGCTCCGTGCGCTCCATGGATGGTTGCTTCAAGAGGCCACGAGACACGGCGACGATGGCTTGAGGGAGCCTTCATCCAGCAGTGGACAGACCATGGCCAATGATGTAAACGCTCATTGCCCATGGTCTTCACTGCAGAGATTGGGGGGGTGGGATTTGGTGCCGGCTCACAGCGTGGCTGCCTTTCCCGCTTGTCTTGAGGTTTGTGAGCCTTCAAAGTGAACCAGTCAAGGGTTCTGTAATTGCAGGGAATTTTGTTCCAGCTAAACAAAATATATACATTACACTGCAATATAAGTTAACTTCACATCAGTGAATCAGCCCGCATGCATCAGTTAATCAGTCCCCGCCCCTACACTCATCCTCCATAACTTGATGTTTCATGTTCTCGAAAACCAGCGTTGCTACAGTGTTTAATCATCATCAGCCATTATCTATCCACTGCTAGATGAAGGCTTCCCGAAGCCGTCTGCATCCCTCGCAGTCCGGAAATTCAACAGAGGGCCATATATGGCATAACTATAACAGATATTCAACAATATTCATAATAATGATAACACTGAACTGTACAGGCCTTTATCAATACCTTGCTCGGTGAAGGCTTCACCGAGCCTTTCTGTCACGGGGGTTGTTTGACCATACTTCACCGTGCTGGTCAGTGAGAGTTGGTGAGGGTGGAGGCCCAGGACGAGCTCGAATATCACTCGCCACTGATCTTTGCCATCATAATAATAATACTTAAATTATATATAGCATCATTCATGCTAATAGCATCCCATAACGCTGTACATTAAATATATATAGGACTAAACCCCATACACAGCCACTTCCAAGCAAATGAAAACTCTGCTACTCCCAAGCAAAACAAATAATAAACAAATGAAGAAATGGCACCAAAACAAAAAGCACAAACAACAACAACAACAACGTTATCACAACAAAGACATTAGCCCATGAGGCCGTGGTTGGTAATTGAGCTCAGGTTGTCTTGTTCATAGCCTAGTTTGCTAACCACTGCACCACTGCTCCGCCAACATGAATATTAAATCTTTACAAATGTTTCAGAGTTCAGGCTTATCAAACCATCAGTCGTGAGAAAGTACGACATGCTCATAGTGCAATTTTTCCTTAGATTTGAGAGGTTTGACAAAAGTAAATTAGTCATATAATACAGAACTTAAGAATGTCCAGTGTTTAGTTCTGGGGAAAAAAATACTGACAACGGGAGTCTGATTACTCTGGAAATACAATGCTAAAAACCAACAAGTAACTTAGAATGTGTCAGACATCGCGAAAATAATGGTCAAATGAGTCAGTGTGTTAAGGCAGGCCTGTGAATAGGAAGCCTTTTACTATCTAATAACAGAAGTTTGTTCCTGTTTCAATTAAAGATAATTGACACGTGAACAACAACCACTGCTGTAAGCGTGATTCACACAGAGTTTGTGGCATTTTGTAGGAAATGTTTTCCAAGTAAGTTCATTAGAGAGGACACTGAATGGCACAGCATTAGTTATGAAAGATGCTACAAACTTGACAGCATCAACGAAGCATAGGTGGAGCAAGAAATGGCGACGTGAGTTCACGTACAGTATAGATAATTGTATACGCACAGGGGCCTGGTGAGTTAGCATCTCGCCATGAATCGGTGTAACAATCCACCCAGCGCCCGCACACGAGCGGAGAGCGTTGCTCCATCTCCTCCGGGGAAGATCTCATCACGAGGGGTTCGCTCTCTTGGTGGCAACTCCGCCATGATTCTTGGCAATTGGCCATCGTCCTGCCAGGCGACGTGTCCTGCCCCAGCTCTCTTTTCTCGGCAATGAGACTGTGAAGTCTATAGGTTGCATATACTCTCTCATTTCCATGCATCCAATTCCTAACGTAAACCGCTCCAAGCTTCTCTGAGTGCTTTTCAGTTTTTGCACAATTTCCATTTTTCTTGCGAATGTCCACGTGACCCGTACGTCATAGCAAGGCAATACGGATTCATACAGCAACAACACAATCTTACTTCCGAGGACATGATCACTTGTGAAAGCAGTCCGGAATCCGTGTACATGCATGGTTTTCATTCCTCGTTTGTCTCGTGTTGAGGAGCCGTCTCTCAGCTCTCTGGGGTGATTTATAGGAAGCGATCACTTGTGTAAAACGGAAACACGGATAATGCTAAACACGTAAATTGTTCTAAAATTATTAACTTATCGTTTAGCTATATTGTTTACTAAAGTAATCTATCAGTGAGTCACCAGTTAGGAAGAGCCAGTAATCGAGAGCTTACATACATTGGCATGGGATGGCCTCTCCTCTCTTTCTCTCGCTTCCTTGTTATTATAATATTACTGAGTCAACGCACGCGTGTTCTGCTACTGCTGAGTTGTATTTGGGATAATTTAATATTTCTCTGATGTTCTTTA